ATTTGCGTGAAGTGACCCCCTTAACAGCGGATGCTTTTTTGGTTTCTAAGGTTGCTTATATAATTCTTGATATCCTGCTACACAAAACTTAAGAATAAGTTGAAATTTTAATGCACGCTCTATATCAGAATCCTGAGTAAGAAAATATTCCATACTTGTAGCAATTTCAAGCCCTCGAGAAATAAATAAGTCGTTATTAGCAGAACTTCATCACCGACTTCGCCATTATCGACTTCTTTATTATCATAAACTGTCATAAATTCGATCAAATCGTTCTCATCCAAAGAGCTTTCTAACATCTATTCTTCAATATCCGCCGTTTGCATGTTCCTAAAACCTTCGCCACCACTTACTTTTGATAGAGTTATAATTTTAGAACACGCAGCTGATTTTTGAACACCGAAACTTCCACTTTTCACGCATGCCGCAAAACTTTTTTTCCAAGAAGCATTTAAGGTCGATTGGAGCAACTGTTTAATGGCAAAAGAAGCATGTGTAATACAATCCATAATCTTAAACTTTCTCCGTGCTTCCACAATTGTCAAATTTCTTTCTTCCACTGAGTCTAAAATATATTTAAACGTTCGTTTTATGTAGTACATTTTAAATGCTGCTATAATACCCTGATCGAGTGGCTGAATCAAAGAGGTGGTAAAAACAGCATTTGAATGTTTGGTGAAAAAGTTTTGGGGAATTCGTGTTAGAACAAAAAAATCGTGTAAAAAAGTTTATTGGTGATCGGTGTTATTTCACAATTGTATAAAACAAGACCGTGTAAAAAGAGCTTGGTGTATATATATATAGATTATTAATATTAAATAGATATAATTCTTGACGTGCATATAAATTTATATAAAATGCAAATTATAGCTAATAAAAATCAAAATTAAAAAAAATGCATAGTATAATAAGAAATCCAATAACAAAACTTTGAAGTTAAAAAAAGAATTTCTAAAAGTTAAGCCTTAAAAGTTATTGAGGGGAAAAAAAGTCATTAAATTGTTCAAAGTATAGTATTACAGAATATTCAAGAATGCATATTAAACACAAATCATTTAAAATATACATACATGCATGCATACATACATACATGTATATATATATATATATATATATATATTTAAAAAATTTTATTAACAGAAAATTAAAATTTTATTGGGCCTTCAGTAGCTTTAACTACTGTATCAACAACTTTTTGTGATATGGTGGCCACTGCCTTTATATTCCTTTGGGTATTTTTTCCATTCTTGCTATGTAACCGCGGTAGCTTAGAAGTCATGGTCACGGATTCGCAGTTGGCGTTGTTTTCGTCTTGTAGTGAGTTTAAGCCCGGATGCAACTAAATACTCGCCGTATAGTGGGGTTGATGCACGTAATATCTGTCATTGCTCAAAGTCCTCCTGTTGGCATGGTGTGGAAGTTATGAGAGGAAAATGCTAGAGCTCAGGTGTCGATTTTGTCGTTTGACAGAAGTTCAAACTTAAGAGGTCCGTCACCAGTAGTCTTCGTGTTGCTTCCAATGCGACGTTAATAAATCCAAACCAATCAAGTAATAAGAACGACACCAGGCCGGTTATCCCTCAACGAACTTCCACTACTCGTTCCATGAAGAGTTAAATTCAGTGAAACCTAATGAGTATATAGCACTCTCTCTTCTTCTATCCCAAGCGACGATCTTTGGCAAACTGAGACTTAGAGCCCTTTTATTCTTTTCTTTTCAGCATCAATTCAGAGGGCGCTGCGCGCGCCGCGCACGCGCGATGGCTCTGAAACTTTATTAATTTGCATAATATCCTATAATTGACATTTGCTGCGAATTTCATTTGATTCTGATGATTCCTTCATGGTGTTGCATTTTCTACAAACAGCAGTTTATTATTCTCCTGTTCTGTCTTTTTCAAAAATTGTTTCAGTTTTTTAAATTTTTAAATTTCTTTTTTTAAACTTCAGGTACCTTAATTTCTTGAATGTTTGCTTATTTTGTATAATTTATATGATTTATAATTTTATATCACACAGATGCACACAAATTTTATATATATAGTGTATGATTATATATAATTAATATTAAGTCTAAGTAACATGAGTAATTATTTAAATACTTATACATTACTTACAAATTTTGTGTGTTTTTACCTTATTGTATGAATTTGTGAAGATTGTTTTCAATTTGACGTGGTTACAAAACTGAAACTACTCGAACATTTTACACATATTAGAAATTCATTTTTTATTTTGTTTATATTCTTATTTCATTTTTATTATATTTTAGTACTTTTATTTTATTCCAAAAAGAATATTACTTCTTTCTATTTTTGATTTTGTAATATATTTATCTAGCTTTAGATTTATAATTTTACATCTTTTTAATGGATTTTTATATGCTTCTTTAGCTATTCTAGATTTATATGTATATATTTGTATTTATAGTTTCAGTTTTATAATTTTTATTTTGTTATATTTTTCAATTTATATAGTGTATGTTTTAAATACATAATTTGTTTAAAAATTAAAATATATTTTCTACATAAATTTAGCTATTATACTCCAACCATCTAGATTTCATACAGTTTTCCTTTCATGGTTTTAAAAAAATTTATATTTCAGTGACTCTGGCAAAGAATGCAAATTTCTTTGATTTTGTCTTTTCCTGGTGAAATACTGTTGTTGCATGTATGGCATAGTTAAAAATTGTCATTTTTGCACATATTTCGTATGTAGAGTATTGCTGCATATTCTTTTATATTAGTGCTTACTACACTAATTATGTTGAATTTATTCCTTAAGATTCATTTATTTTTAGTCAATAGATTTGAAGGGAATCAGAAAGTTCCTTTACTTGTTAAACTTTTAAAGGATAAAACTTATTATTATTAATTTTTAATTGGTATATTATGGTATATAAGTTTACTTACTCACAAACAAACACTCAAACAGAGATTTAGCTGCTATGCATACTAAATGAAACCATAAACACTTGAAAACAGTCGGAATTCTCGGTGGGTGGTGGTAGTATAAAAGGGAAGAATTAATCTGAATCACATTCGTGGACGCAGGTTCGAATCCTGCTCCTGGGCAGTTGCACATATTTATCGTTTGAAAATGACGAGCAATTTTCCAATTCGTGAATTACCGAAAGCTGCAGAAGAAAAGAAGAGACGATTTCAAGGCAACTGTACTCAAAACTTTAGCCATCATCCACGTTTTATAAACTGTTTGGTCATATGAATCTAAATGTTTAATTTAATTCAATTTCATAATGTTTGTACAGATTAATAAGATATTAAATCATAATGAAAATTAAATAAGCATGACATTTTACTTACATTATACTAATTTTTCTCCAATTATTTCACTCAGAATGCGATAGTCTTTGTTTCTGTTTTTGTCGTGCATAATCCACAAATAAATTTTGTACATTTTTCACGCACATTATAAGTTTTATTGTCTATGCACCGCTTTAAGAACCGAAGTTTTCCTTCGTTTGAAACTTCTGGAGTAGTTCGTTGGTGCATAATTTCCCCAGAAGTCTTTCTCTCTTCTTTTGCAAAATATTTCTCTTTTAGCTCCACTTCTAATTATAGAACATTGTTTTTTCTGCTCAGATTAGAGAATATTTTTTTTTCTAATATTTTCTTGCCATCTGATCTACAACAACGACTCCAAATTTTGTGCATTTGTGGAAATTTAATATTTCAAGAGTTTTCATTCCTTCATTATTTTATCTTTCATTTCACTTCATTATTCTGGAAATTTATTCCCTCCAATGAAGAATAAAATGTGCTAAAAGAAGAAGTACATTTTTGTGTGTATTACAATGGTAAGAAACTAGAATGGTATTATTATGTGTCATGAAGGTTGTTGATTATAATTTTTTTTTTCGTCAAGGATTTTGAAACATTTTTTTTGTTCAGTTGATTGTTCCAACATAGCTCAAACCAGTTTCTATTAAGCTTTCTACAAGTTTTAGACATGTTCAAAACCATGACTTGTTATATTTCGTCCTGCTTTGGGATAAAACTATGCTATCCTAAGAGCATTATTTACTCCAACACTTATATCATTTGATTTCTAATAATCTTTTCCTAAATAGAGAAATGTGTTTATTATGTACTTTGAGCTCACAGTTTAAAGCAACCCACTGAAAGTTCATTTAGCAATTGCAATACTTGTTCTTTCGAAAGATCTCTTCTGCTGTGTGCCATCACTAAACGTGAGCGAAACTGAAATGCCACTAATTTGTCTTCCTTCTGCTAAGTTTTTAACGTGGAAAATATTCTTTTTGCTCAGTTCCTAGCCTATAACAGAGGTTAGAAGATTGTGCAACATTCCAATACATAGATACAATAGATTCCAATCACAAAAGCTCACCCATCTGACTAACAGGTACATGCCAGAGGTGTGGAAACGCCATCTTCTCGTTCTCACTCTTTTCAAAAAGCGGGGGCAAAACATCTCCTTCTATAATTCTTTCTTAATTGAAATATATAGAGTTGAAATCCTGTTTGAAATAAAAGAAGAGGTTCTTATGTTGTTGAGGTCAGTTAAAACCATGGTAGTTTTATGTATATTTACATATAAATAAAAGGTATTCCTTGGAATTCAACTAATTTCGTGTTGAGACATTAGACTGAATACTTAGGAAAAGTCGAAAAATTAGAAAGCTTAATTTTTAAATACAATTGTGAAATGAGCAAAAACTCACGTCTTGAGTCACAGATGACCCACCTTTGGTAATTCGAGTGTTAAATAATGAAAAAAAATTCTGCTGATATTTTTTGGAAACTTAACATATGCAGGCAAAATAGTTCAGTGAATTAAAAATACAAATGGAAATAAATTCCGAATGTACAGTAAGCAGTAAATAATGTAGCTTTATAAATGTCGCCCTAGTTGCTTTGACGAAAATGGACTAATACATCACTATATAGGAAATATATTTATCAGTTTTTATATGAAACTGAAAAAATCAAGAATGAAAAATATTACCTTAAGCATGTGCCAGGGATGGCCGAGTGGATATGGCGTCAGACTTCTGCTTACTTACATATGCAACCACCATTCATTCCTATCTCATTCGCGATTGGATATACTAAAGGATAACATACACACTTACAAGCCCTCACACTGAGATTTCGCTGCTATGTATACTAAATGACACACTTGCACGCAGACAAACACTCACACACAGATTTAGCTGCTATGTATAATAAACGACTCTTTGAATACAGTCGGAGTTCTCGGATGGTGGTGGTAGTATGAAAGGGAAGAATTAATCTGAATCACATTCGTGGACGCAGGTTCGAATCCTGCTCCCGGGCAGTTGCACATATTTTTCGTTTGAAAATGACGAACAATTTTCCAATTCGTGAATCACCGAAAGTTGCAGAAGAAAAGAAGAGACGTTTTCAAGGCAACTGTACTCAAAACTTTAGCCATCATCCACGTTTTATAAACTGTTTGGTCATATGAATCTAAAAGTTTAAATTAATTCAATTTCATGATGTTTGTACAGATTAATAACATATTGAATCGTAATGAAAATTAAATAAGCACGACATTTTATTTACATTATACTAATTTTTCTCCAATTATTTCACTCAGAATGCCATAGTTTTTGTTTCTGTTTTTGTCATGCATAATCCACAAATAAATTTTGTACATTTTTCACGCACATTTATAAGTTTTATTGTCTATGCACCGCTTTAAGAACCGAAGTTTTCCTTCGTTTGAAACTTCTGGAGTAGTTCGTAGGTGAATAATTTCCCCAGAAGTCTTTCTCTCTTCTTTTGCAAAATATTTCTCTTTTAGCTCCACTTCTAATTATTGAACATTGTTTTTTCTGCTCATATTAGAGAATATTGTTTTTCTAATATTTTCTTGCCCTCTGATCTACAACAACGAATCGAAATTTTGTGGTAGGGCTTTTGAGGGAATTTAAGTGCAGACATTTAGTCTGGTAGGTATCATTCCTACAAGTCTTAAGCCGTGAATAATGCATCGTCATTGAATTCTTAAGAGCACATGATTGTATATATTAAATTATCAGTAAATAAGAATGAAAGCTTACTTTTAAATGAGAGAATGTAAAAATATAGAGATTTTAAGGAGAAACTAATATGAATTAAAGTTAAATCATTACACACTCACACATACCCGCATGCACACACACATACGAACTGTAGATGAAAAAAGGCTTATCAGAAAACTGGCACATGTGTTGCAAGATCGATCACTTTCCGTGCGAAAGAGTTTTCAAAGTTTCTACACACCCAAACTCAGCTTTGATGCTACATGTTAAATCAGTATGAATAGTTATGATAGTTGCAATATCTATTCTTCTCCACTGTTAAGAAGCATCATGGATACAGAGATCAAATATAATATTTTAGACTGTCACATCATTGCAATCGAATTTCCAGTTTCCACTGTATCACGCAAAAGGTAGAACACAGCGTCTAATTTGTGATCAAAGCATCTCAAAAAGTAACTGATGTTGAAGCAAGAGACGACACCGTCCCATGAAGAATATTTATTCAAACGTTTTACACAAATTTCTCAAAAAATCTGATTTTAAAACACATTTATTTGAAAAAAAAGTTTGGATAATTTTACAAACTGTGCTAAAAAATAGGGCCTCATACACTGTTAAAATATTCAAAAATGAAAAAAAAAAAAAAAAAAAATATATTAAGAATAAGTTCAAAAAGTTGAAAAAGTTGGTTTGTAAAAAAATTAAGAAATATTATAAAAAATAAATATAATGAATTCAAATCTTAAAATAATTTTTTTCTTGTTTATCATACCACAAATCCACATTTAGAAATATAGCTTAACTATATTTGAAAGTTCAATATCTATTACGAAATGACAAAAATATAATTTTCATATTTATTTATATAAATCTCTTCTAATAATTAAATATGGCCGCGGTAGCCTATTTGTCGTGGTTGCGGTCTCGTAGCTGGCGGTTTTCATAGAGTCGAACGTTCTAGCCTTGTTGGCACTAACGACCCGCAGTATAGCCGTGGTTAATGCACGTTAGTCAGTCGAGACTGAAAGCCCCTCGTTGGCGTGGTTGGGAAGTTAGGAGAGTATGGGAATTGCCAGCTCATAAAATAAAACCAACCAATCTAATAATTAACCTGCTATCAAAGTTCTAATAAAATGTCCTTTTTATATTATACAGGGATCGCACAAATGTGTGCCCAAATTTCTGAAATTTATATTTTAGAAATTACTAAACATATTACAATAAGGAACCATGTAATTGTGAGTAAATCATAGTCTCCTGGACCCTCCATCCATCAGATCTGAAGCTGCTCGTTTAAGTAAGCACTTACATACAACGACCAATAGCGTAGGTCTTCATCCTGATGAAACACAAAACTTTTACTGTCCTTTTACATTTGTAGAAATAACATAATTTTCCATTTTTCCAGATCATTGTTACCTGTTACCATATTTCAACAAAGACTACTCATCCCGTACAATTCGTTTTGTGGCATGGAATAAAAAATATTCCTTTGAGCGTATCTCTTTGGAACTAAACAATTTCATTGGAATTTCTCTTACCCACTCACTAATATCATGACATTTGACATTTCATGACTAATTGAAAGTTGCGTCGCCTCAGAAAATCAGTAAATATATGAAATCTTCACATTGCTATTTCTCTTGCATAGGGTCACATAACTCCTATCTGGAAATATTGTCGTCTGCTGCGAAATGTTGCACCAATTGTAAGTGATACCACTTGAAATGTATATTTTTTCAAAAAGATTTCACGACTGTTTTCTGAAGAAATTTCCAGTACGTTTGTGGAAGCTGTGATTTAATTCAGTGCCCGTTGAAAAAAACTCCGTCTCACCCGCTAAATTGTTTTTTCCATTGAAGTGGTTGAGACAGAGTGAGGGAGTGTAGTGTGAAATACGGGAGGGGCGACCATTATGGTAATTTATTAAAAGAATTTAATACATTGACAAACAGAAGAGAGAAAAGTGAAACCAGAATTCGTTTCCTCTCTCATTTCTCTACACACTTAGCAGTACTTCGATCGCCCTCAGTGAATAAACACAATAATACAGTAAATGCAAAGTCAAAAGTTAGTAGACTCGCAAGTAATTGCAAGCCATAATAAATTGGGATTCTATTTAGTAAAACTAATGTTCAAGGTCATCCTTCCAAAACGGCGGTGCTTTAAACGCCAAAGTTGAAATGGTAAAATTTTGAAATAAAGCGCAGATTTTTCAACAGAAGGAATCTCCTTGTTGACTTCGTCTATGAACAAATGAGCTGGCTTCAAAAGGACGGGAGAGTTGACCTGAGGCTGAGGAATAGAGGTTTTCTGAAAAAGGTTTATGAAGCATTGCGCGTCAAGCGTAATATCTATGAAAGTGTATCTTGGCACATCCAACGTGAGTCTCTACACGTTCCACGTGAGTCTAGTTTTCTTCGTTACATTCTTCCGCTGTCTTCATTACGTTCTTTACAGACCCATGTTTGGCTCTTGCGCCATTTTTTGATTTTCTTAATTTTGTATTTCACATCATTTGCACATGCTTGCCTTGCAAGAATAGCTAGCTAGCACTCATAGTGGTAGAACAGTAAGAAGCCGGTGGTGACTAGCAGTCGCCACAGTATTTCCCCTGCAATCAAGATTTTTTGCAGCCAGCTCATCCGTTCACAATTGCAGTCAACAAGGAGAACTCCTTCTGCTCTTTCTGATGTCTGCACTCCTTTGGTAGAAGTTCCCGTTCTGTGGTTGAATTTTAGTTTTGATCGTCTTTTTGACTATTAGTTTATTACAATAAATGAATTTGATATTTCATAAAAATGATACTTATTTTGATAAATATTATGAATAAACACACAGAGAGAGACAGACACACATAGACACATGCATATGGGTATTTAATATATTTGTTCATTAGATGATCAATTTAATAATTATTTATTTATTTATCTAAAACTTTTCATACAGTTACAGTTGTATCTGATATCCATGCCTAAAAAGTGATGTACTTTTGATCAAATTTTAAATCACATAAACGAATGTTAAAATTTAACAATTACATTTGAAAAATACGGAATCCTATGAATTTTAAAAGATTATTTCCTATACAAATTTTCTTTGGATGCGATAGCCAAGTAATGGTCTCGGATTCGCCAAAGTTGGTTTTCGTCTAGACGGGGGTTCGAACTTTTATGCCTCTACAGATTCGAAGTGTAGCTCGGGCTGATTCATGTTAAATCTATAGACGCCGAAAGTCCTCCCGTTGAGGTGGGAAGAAACTCAGGAATGGAGTGCCAGCTAATATATATTCCTCGTCACTTGAACGAGGTTCAACTTAAGCGATCTATCGCCAATAGCCCTCGTGTTACTTCGAGTGCAACGTCAGCTAAACGAAATCATCTTAAAACTATCTTTACAATTTAATAAATGGAATCTTATACTAAATAGTCTGTCTATATGGTAAATTTGCATGGAATATATTTTTTCTTACTCTACTATTATTCTACATAAAAGCCTATAGTTCAATGGCTAATAATTTTTTAAAAAAGTATATCTTTAATTCACGTTAATTTATAACAAATTTTTAGTTCAGTGCTTAAAGTGTACGTACAATTTTCCTAATACTTTGCCTTGATAAATGTGTGTTTAAAGAAAAATTTCATCCGTCCTTTTAAAGAAATTAACCTACTAAATACTAAACAATTTACTTAGAATTTTATCTCCTATTGCATAGTCTCTATACATGGTAAATTTAAATAGAAAATCTTGAAAACTATTTTGTTTTACTCTAATTTTGTTCAATCTAAAATAGAATAGTTCCATTTCTAATAATCTTTAATAGAATACAAAAATTCATTAAAATCTTTTAATTTAATTTAACATTAAAAATTATCACAATACCTTTCCTCGGTAAATTCAGGTGTAAGGAAGGAATTCAATTACAGTTTTAAAAAATTTATCATATTAAATAAGGAATGAAAGATTTCAAAACGTGAGTTGTAGTCATAGAAGATTTATTTGTGAAAGGGATATAGTAAAGAAATATATTTATGTAAAACAATTTTACATCTGAAAATTTTATGAGAAATATTAAATGTTATTTATTTATTCCTTGGAAACTTTCCTCGCTACAATTTAAAAAAAAATATTTTTAGCTCTTAAATATTTTATTAGCACCAAATTATTACTAAGTTTCAGAGATATTTATCGAAAAATCGTTTTGTAAGTATACCGTATTGTTTTAAAATACGGAATAGTGACCCGTTGAAGTTCTGTAATTTACAAAATTGAAGAATAAATCACGAAA